CCCTAAATAATGTTATTAGGATGACTGATGTGGGTCCACTACATAATGTCATTAGGGATGACTGATGAGGGTCCCCTACATAATGCCATTAGGATGACTGATGTGGGACACCTACATAATGTCATTAGGGATGACTGCTATGGGTCCCATACATAATGTCATTAGAGATGACTGATGTGGGTCCCCTACGGAATGTTATTAGGGATGACTGATGTGGGTCCCCTAAATAATGTCATTAGGATGACTGATGTGGGTCTCCTAAATAATGTTATTAGGATGACTGATGTGGGTACCCTACATAATGTCATTAGGATGACTGATGTGGGTCTCCTAAATAATGTTATTAGGATGACTGATGTGGGTCCACTACATAATGTCATTAGGGATGACTGATGTGGGTCTCCTACGGAATGTCATTAGGGATGACTGATGTGGTTCCCCTACATAATGTTATAAGGATGACTGATGTGGGTCCCCCACATAATGTCATTAGGGATGACTGATGTGGGTCTCCTACGGAATGTCATTAGGGATGACTGATGTGGGTCTCCTACGGAATTTCATTAGGGATGACTGATGTGGTTCCCCTACATGATGTTATAAGGATGACTGATGTGGGTCCCCCACATAATGTTATTAGGATGACTGATGTGGGTCACCTACATAATGTCATTAGGATGACTGATGTGGGTCACCTACATAATGTTATTAGGATGACTGATGTGGGTCACCTACATAATGTTATTAGGATGACTGATGTGGGTACCCTACATAATGTCATTAGGATGACTGACGTGGGTCACCTAAATAATGTTATTAGGATGACTGATGTGGGTACCCTACATAATGTCATTAGGATGACTGATGTGGGACACCTACATAATGTCATTAGGGATGACTGATGTGGGTCTCCTACGGAATGTCATTAGGGATGACTGATGTGGTTCCCCTACATAATGTTATAAGGATGACTGATGTGGGTCCCCTACATAATGTTATTAGGATGACTGATGTGGGTCCCCTACATAATGTCATTAGGGATGACTGATGTGGGTCCCCTACATAATGTAATTAGGGATGACTGATGTGGGTCCCCTACAGAATGTCATTGGAGATGACTGATGCGGGTCCCCTACGGAATGTCATTAGTGATGACTGATGTGGGTCCCCTACATAATGTCATTGAGATGACTGATGTGGGTCCCCTACAGAATGTCATTGGAGATGACTGATGCGGGTCCCCTACGGAATGTCATTAGTGATGACTGATGTGGTTCCCCTACATAATGTTATAAGGATGACTGATGTGGGTCCCCTCCATAAAGTTATTAGGATGACTGATGTGGGTCCCCTACGGAATGTCATTAGGGCTGACTGATGTGGGTCCCCTACGGAATGTCATTGGAGATGACTGATGTGGGTCCCCTACAGAATGTTGGGTCCCCTACATAATGTCATTGAGATGACTGATGTGGGTTCCCTACAGAATGTCATTGAGATGACTGATGTGGGTCCCCTACAGAATGTCATTGAGATAACTGATGTGGGTCCCCTACAGAATGTCATTGGAGATGACTGATGTGGGTCCCCTACGGAATGTCATTAGGGCTGACTGATGTGGGTCCCCTACGGAATGTCATTGAGATAACTGATGAGGGTCCCATTCATAATGTAATTAGGGATGACTGATGTGGGTCCCACTCATAATGTAATTAGGGATCACTGATGTGGGTCCCCTACAGAATGTCATTAGGGTTGACTTCTATGGGTCCCCTACGGAATGTCATTGAGATAACTGATGAGGGTCCCATTCATAATGTAATTAGGGATGACTGATGGGGGTCCCCTACAGAATGTCATTGAGATAACTGATGTGGGTCCCCTACAGAATGTCATTGGGGTTGACTGATGTGGGTCCCCTACGGAATGTCATTGGAGATGACTGATGTGGGTCCCCTACGGAATGTCATTGAGATAACTGATGAGGGTCCCATTCATAATGTAATTAGGGATGACTGATGTGGGTCCCATTCATAATGTAATTAGGGGTCACTGATGTGGGTCCCCTACAGAATGTCATTAGGGTTGACTGCTATGGGTCCCCTACGGAATGTCATTGAGATGACTGATGTGGGTCCCCTACAGAATGTCATTAGGGTTGACTGCTATGGGTCCCCTACGGAATGTGATTGAGATAACTGATGTGGGTCCCATTCATTATGTAATTAGGGATGACTGATGTGGGTCCCACTCATAATGTAATTAGGGATCACTGATGTGGGTCCCCTACAGAATGTCATTAGGGTTGACTGCTATGGGTCCCCTGCGGAATGTCATTGAGATAACTGATGTGGGTCCCATTCATTATGTAATTAGGGATGACTGATGTGGGTCCCCTACAGAATGTCATTGAGATAACTGATGTGGGTCCCCTACAGAATGTCATTAGGGATGACTGACGTGGACCCCCATGTGTCTTCTGTTTAGGGTCCATACAAAAAAACAAGTTTACCTGCTGCCCCCACAGCCACACTTGGGACCTATCGCTTTTCCTTACACTACACGTTCCTATCAGTGATATATTCCTAGGTACCCGTCTCCTACTGACCTTAGCGGTTGCGAGGATGTTTAATTCCAAACATTCTGTGTCGAAACATTAATTGGCTCATAGTCTGTCTTCTACATATTCGATATAACTATCTGTCATTTGATCTTAAATGTATTGATAATATTAGAACTTCAAAAGAAACAACCCATTCTTACGTACTTTTTACTTTCTATATTAGGTACTAGCCCAGTATTCGTCATAATGCCCATACTCGAAATATCACATTTATTATTTTATGTCGGTGTGTGCTATAACCAACACCTCTAAGTTTATTTACAGTACGTGTTCACGGGAAGAAGCATTTTTTAATCTCCGTCCTCAAATGTTGTAAAGTGTTTTCAAAATTGTTAACATGTTTAAACAAAATACCAAGGTTAAGAAATAAATCCTGGGTTCTTTTCTAATCAGTCAGTTCTGTAAAGAATGTATGTAGGTGATTGGTGTTCGTTTGTTGACAGTCATACATCAAGGTTGTCACCATCCGTCATCAAAGCAAACATGATAAAGACAAACCGACATTCGGGCCTGATCTACTTGCTCATTTGGAGAGTTTTTATGACCGAGTTGAAGTAAAAGTGCTATCATTACACTTCAGATAAAATATATCATCCGTCATAACTATATTAATGTAGTCTATTCGTGCCATCCTGTCGTCTATAAAGCACTATTATTTTATCTGGATCAGGCCAATAACATGTTCAGGACATATCATAATGTAATGAAATATAACATGTATAAACAGGAAAATTAACAACTCAGAATGTCAAATTGATGTGAACTTCGACTGAATATTAATTCTGACTATTTATTGTGCGTGACTGCATGTTGTTTGGACAGACATCCTTCTTTTAATGTCCTGTTATCGTTATCGCTTTAAATACGAAACAAACAAGCGCCAAACTGACAATGACACAAGTCGAAACAGAAAGCCAAACAGAGTAAACGTTTAGTGTGTATATGACCGTTCCGGCCATTTTGGACAAACCGATGGTACTTCCGGTCAAAATATAAATTATCATTTAACTACATGGTAAAGGGATGCTGTCATCGTGTTGCAATTCTGTCTGCAATTAATATTCAGTTATTTTGGTTCAAGATGCACACAATCACGCATACGCACGCACACACACACACACGCACACACAAACATATTTGTCTCATTACAGGAAAAAACAAAGGCGCTCTGTAATGACAACTTTCCCTGTAACTTAATATGTAACAAATATGGCTTGATTACGTATCTAGAAACTGGAAATTAGGTCGATTTGACTCCCAATTTAGATTTTTTTAGCATTATAAAACGATCATTATTAGCCTGTTATAAACCGTTCACTATCATATTTCGTACAATCAAACACCTGTGTCATATTTATTTCACGTCTGTTACATAGATACGAGACTGAGTATGATTTATTGTACGATTAAATGAAATCACGTATCACCTTACCACGCCCATTTTAGGTAGATTACAACATAATAACCCAAACCATACCCTTGAATCCGGAGAGTAGGCATTCGAGATGTAATGGTTCTGAAGTATATGTGTACAACGGGATATAAAGTCAGACGGAAACAAGTGCTGAAACAGTCTCTTTTCGTCTGCAGGTGTGTTCTACTCAGTAATCACGATTTAATCCTCTACGTCAGACATACCTGAGACAACCTGTATCGACTATGTATTGGGTTATTTCTGACTTTCGGCCTAATGATCTTAACATCTTTCAACCAATACATTCTTAAGTGGTTAATGTTCCGGCTGGATGTTTGGCGCATCATGATTGCTTTTAATATTGGGGTTTAAACTTCTTTTTAAAGTAACGATGGATCTTAAAAACTTTTCTGTGCAAATAAAAGACGTGATTTCTTGTCCATCCATACTTTTAAGTGACGCATTTTGATTCAGATAATTCAATTCGATTTGTCGGTGTCAACGGCGACATTGGCATATTAAATAGTCATACAGCTCATAATGAAACACAATACCATAACGAGGAGCTGTTGGAACATTTGAATGCAATTTGTCCCTTATATATATATATATATCTTATGCATTGAACACCTCTGTCAAAGGCAATAAAACAAAACAAAAAAGGCAACAAAACATTAAGATATCCTATTAATTTTAAACGGTTCTGAAACACTACATATTACATTTATGATAAATATGTTGTGTGACGAATAATTGAAGTATCAATATTTTCGAATGAGTCTGGTATGTTAGATAGTATTTTGCTCAAAGGATACGTCTCCATTGTTCTAACTTTCATATCCAATGCGAGAAAATACCCTGATAACGTACTGACCTCTCAAGATTATGGTAGGACTAATTTTTAATCTGAAACCACATGTTATACATACGCTTCGTCAAGGTCGTATCCTGTCTGTTTTTCAGATGATGAGGTAGGCGTAGAGGAAAGAGAGTTGACCGAGAAGTTGACCCGTCTTAATGCAGAAGTCGCAAAGGCTAACGCTGACCTATCCGAGGCACTCCGATTGTCAGCCGAAACCGAAAGTACAGCCGTAAAGGCACAGCTAGCAGCGGAGAGGGCAAAGGAAGAGGCCAAACGAATAGAAGAGGAGCTCGAACTGAAATCAAAAGTAGAGGCCAAACGAAAGATTGAACACCAGAAAAAGATGGACATCCTCCAAAAGCAGAAGGAGGAGGAAGACCGAATGGAACTGGAAACAAGAAGGCAGAAAGAAATTGAATGGAAACGGAAGGAATTGAACGCTGGCGAAAAAGGACCAGTTTGGGAAAAATGGCCGACCCACGAGTAAGTAAATTAAACTAGATACTCTACCTTTTATATAAATTAGCTATGACCATTAGTTTTAAATTACCAGATATCTTCTATTCCTTCTTTTGTAATATGTAAAAGCTTACCTTTTTATTTTTACATATTTTGTTTATCATATACATGAAGCCATAGCTTTTTAATGCACTTTGAGGTAAAAGATATCAGGTCAAAAATTAAATGTTAAAGACTTGACGATGATCAAAGAAAACAGTTTTCGCGATTATTCACAAACATTCTCGGTAATCGGATTAAAGGGGAATATGTTGACTTGCTAAACTGTAAACTTCAAAAACAGCACTTGTAATGGAAGCAAAACTCCGGTATTTACGTTACAATGTTATATTTCATAAGATTGATACTTTATATTTGTTTGTAATAGTTGCAAAATTATCATTGAAACAAGCAATAGTCTAGTTTATTTGCGTTCCGCTACATGTTGGTATATTTCTTCGATCGATTGTGACATCACAAATGCTTGTAAAGGTTACATGTGGTTATCTGTCTAATTATTGAAAAAAGTGCACATACCTTGGTTGAGCATGTTAAATGATTACTGAATGTCATTCATGTCGTTTAGAAAACTAAATTCATATTTATGAAAACTCAAACATTTAGCTGAAATAAGTGATGTATTACTATGCTTGTTCAATGACTATATCAGCCATCTTTACAGAAAGGTCAGTGGTATCCAAGGTAACAATTATGACGTAAACCTTATGCTAATAATGTCTTGCTAGGTCTTCATGCGGGTGGCGCTCTTCCCACAAACCTTTCTTTCTATCCAACCAAACAATAATGGACATTTTATGTTATACATTATACATAACAACAATGTTATATAGCAGCATCAGCAATCATTCAATAATTGCATAGCTTCGTGAAGGGAACGTGACAATACATTCAGTTATTGATATTACAAACCGTATTGTTGTGTACAGGTGCGTCTCGATAATCAATCCAACATAAGTGGATAGATCATATAACGGCTACATAGCTGGGAGAGTTTTGTAAAAGAAAAGGGCCAACCTGTCTCTCGAAACACTGACAACCATATAAGTGGGGATTGTTCCGCAGATTATATTACTCCGCCATATTTGTGTCACAGAAGAGCCAATTCGTCCCATAAAATATTGGCTTGGTAGTAACTTGGTTTTTCTTTTTGTTTGGGGTTTGATGTTCTCACAGCTGATCATATAACAAGTCATGTCTAGGGGGACACCACTGAAAACAAAGGGTAAAGAAGTGAGAAAAGAAAAGATATAGATCTTTAAGTGTTGTATGTGGGAGAGCAGACCAATGTTAGTGTCTGGCATGTCCTCTAAGCAGACGACACTGAAGAAAACCCCCGATCCTGCAGGGGATCCCACATCAGTCACCTCTTCTGATAACGTGTATAGGGATATAGCAGACCTATTCTTTCCCTCGAATTTGCAGGGCTCGGCGTTTCTACACGTTTGTGACATGTAAAAACATACGGGACCAAAACTTTTCAAACATAATCAATGAATTTAATTACTTGGAGTAATGTGATTTACGTTTTTCTGCTAAAGCAAGATAACACACAAAACTAAAACCCACAGTATATTGATTTAATCAGTGGATCTAGTAGTCCCAATTTTAATGTGAAAATCTCATTAAAATATACCAAGGTAAGATTCGGTCCATTATGCTATTACTAAAATGGTGTGGTATTCCAGGATCAACATTGTCAGCGACGCTCACGAGATTGGTGTTGGATGCATGGTGCGTGGCAATCCGGCTACATTCGACCAATCAAAGCTGGGGTTACAAGTCGTTGACCAGATGCAATGTAAAATGACATATGAAACACAAGAGGAACTCGTCAGTTGTGTCCTGAAACTGACCAACAAAGCAAACGAACAACAAAACTTCGAGGTAGAGTATCGATGTGTGTACGATTCTCTGTGATACTTGCCGATGTTTGAAACATTAAAGAGTTCTAATATTTTAAGATGGACATTGATATTTGCTCCATAAACGCCCCAATCAAATATTTTCCAATATCAACACTTATAACACACATGTAAATGTGACCGTAATGAAATATATGAGGGGTGAAATATGAGCGTATATTCCTTCTAAATTGTTTCAATCAAATCTTGCAAAAGTATACTTTAACGTCGAAAAATCGGTGAACTTGCTTTAACAGCGTTATCTTTGCGCTGAATGTAAGCTTATACATGCGGAAGAATGTACCGCATAGTTTTAAGGTATGCCCAATGTTTGCATCAAAAGTGTTTCCTCTAAAAATGTGGATAATGGGATGCACTAGCAAGATTTAACGAGGAAGTATTGATGGTGTCTCTTGTGACACTTACGTGATACACTAGGTACGTAGGAAAAGTGCAAAAAGTCGGTTATTGCTTAAAAAACGGATATTCGATTTAGTTCTGACAACAAATGTACGATTAATAGAATGCAAAAAATAAACGTCTGTTCTAATATATGTGATTTTGGTTATTTTAATGTTTAAGTGGAACATTAATTTGCATGCGATGTTATTAAGCAGTATTTCAGTAAAAAATGCATTGCGCTATTAAATGCGTCATAGAACAAAATAAAGTTCGGAAACTAACCTCCATTGAGTTATAAACTTGTATCAAGGAATTTCGTTTATTCACAAATCAGTTAAAAAATATACGCACTTTTTTTACTGTATTCTCCTTTCTGTTTTATAGGAGCCAATCTTTGTCGCAGTCCCGTTCCAGCTGTCTCGTTCATCCGCGTCGTCAAGGGAACCATTCATCAAAGCGGAAGTAGATGGCGAATGGAAGGAAATTCCTTCAAGGGAGGTCATCTTTGAAAGCTACAAGGTAGAACACCTCATGATGCGTTGTTTTAAAATTATGATAATAGCTTTTGCATTTGACTGAAAATTAGATAAAATAGTCAACCATTTAGTGTATAGCAACTTAATATATAACATGTTCCTATATATCTCTTATGATATGTTTGAGTAAAAGTTAAAAAGTTATCGCGGTGTGAAAATTCTCGCGATTTTCGCGTTGAAAAAAACCAATCCACACACGATTGATAGAGATATATAGATTTTATTTAACTATTGTGTATTTTTTAAATTCTTTAACAGTATTATATTTTTTTTATAAAGGATGTAAAGTTTGCCCAGGCAGAGATAAAGGGGCAGACAACCCTGGCTGTGATGACGAGGTATAAGAGTGATTACGTCACACTTTCGAAGCGGCCAACAAAGATAGTATCGTCATATGACCACCGCGTGACTCTTACCATCCTGAAAGACACTTTTAACGCGAAAGAGCTCTTCCGAATGCAGGTAAGGGAATAAATAACAGAGATGCTGTTACAGATAATGTTTTCATCTGACTGGAAAACCACAGCGTAAAACAAAGATTTAGAAGCAACTGATATACATGTACCTGTTCATCAACAACTTAGACTAACCTGTCTGGTTGCCGGTTTAGTGTCGCAATAAATGTAAGGTAAAGAATACCAACAGATTAAATTATATTATTACCACTATCACTATAATAAAATAAAACCTTTTCAAAAGAAATGTTTCAGAAAAATTACACAATGCCATGCATTTTAAAGAATTGTGGTTGTTCAAAATTTGAATGTTTGAAAAAAACACAAGAAAAAAACCATTAATAAAGCTGCAGGGGTCGAGCTGGGAACCATTACAAAGCCAATGCTTCACCAATGTTGACATACAGGAATTAGGCAAAAACAATATACAAGCACAGCAGTAAAATGAGTCTTCGATTTACGGGTCACAAAGCATACGAAAATACTGACAGGGGAAGTAACTCTGCGCCAGGACAAAATCCTTTAGGTTGCTACTGTATGTAAAAGGACTCTGAGTGATGCTCCTCTTTGCACTGATACAGTGATACGCTTTACCATAAATCCTTTATTGGGTATTGAAATGACAATGTTTTCTTAAAACATTGCATTTAAAGATAACATTTCAAACCATTTTTATTATTAATTCATTTATTGATTATTGCATTCATTCGTTACCATAATTTAGGTCCAGCCTGTGGATTCCGCTACTATTAGTGACATGCAAACAAGACGGAGGGAATGTAAAGGTTTATTAACCTCCAGTCCTATTCTACAAACCGACTGGGAGTCCACCACCTTTGCTAAACCTATCACGGTGAGTCTACATGGCACGTAGATTGTTATACCTATCACGGTGAGTCTACATGTCACGTAGATTGTTAAACCTATCGCGGTGAGTCTACATGTAACGTAGATTGTTAAACATATCACGGTGAGTCGACATGTAACTAGATTGTTAAACCTATCACGGTGAGTCTCCATGTACCGTAGATTGTTCAACCTATCACGGTGAGTCTACATGTAACGTTGATTGTTAAACCTATCACGGTGAGTCTACATGTAACGTAGATTGCTTAACCTATCACGGTGAGTCTACATGTAACGTAGATTGTTAAACCTATCACGGTGAGTCTACATGTAACGTAGATTGCTAAACGTATCACGGTGAGTCTACATGTAACGTAGATTGCTAAACGTATCAAGGTGAGTCTACATGTAAAGTAGATTGCTTAACCTATCGCGGTGAGTCTACATGTAACGTAGATTGTTATACCTATCACGGGGAGTCTACATGGCACGTAGATTGTTATACCTATCACGGTGAGTCTACATGTCACGTAGATTGCTAAACCTATCACGGTGAGTCTACATGTAACGTAGAATGTTAAACCTATCACGGTGAATCTACATGTAACGTATATTGCTTAACCTATCACGGTGAGTCTACATGTAACGTAGATTGTTAAATCTATCACGGTGAGTCTACATGTAACGTAGATTGCTAAACGTATCAAGGTGAGTCTACATGTAAAGTAGATTGCTTAACCTATCACGGTGAGTCTACATGTAACGTTGATTGTTAAACCTATCACGGTGAGTCTACATGTAACGTAGATTGTTAAATCTATCACGGTGAGCCTACATGTAACGGAGATTGCTAAACGTATCAAGGTGAGTCTACATGTAAAGTAGATTGCTTACCCTATCACGGTGAGTCTACATGTAACGTTGATTGTTAAACCTATCACGGTGAGTCTACATGGCGCGTAGATTACTAAACCTATCACGGTGAGTCTACATGTAACGTTGATTGTTAAACCTATCACGGTGAGTCTACATGGCACGTATATTGTTAAACCTATCACGGTGAGTCTACATGGCACGTAGATTACTAAACCTATCACGGTGAGTTTACATGTAACGTAGATCGCTAAACGTATCACGGTGAGTGTACATGTCACGTAGATTGTTAAACCTATCACGGTGAGTCTACGTTACATGTAGACTCATCGTGATAGGTTTAGCAATCTACTTTACCTGTAGACTCACCGTGATAGGTTTAGCAAGCAACGTGCCATGGAGACTCACCGTGATACGTTTAGCAATCTACGTTACATGTAGACTCACTGTGATAGGTTTAACAATCTACGTTACAGGTAGACTCACCGTGATACGTTTAGCAATATATGTTACATGTAGACTCACCGTGATAGGGTTAACAATCTACGTTACATGTAGATTGTTAAACCTATCACGGTTAGTCTACATGGCACGTAGATTACTAAACGTATCACGGTGAGTCTACATGTAACGTATATTGCTAAACGTATCACGGTGAGTCTACATGGCACGTTGCTTGCTAAACCTATCACGGTGAGTCTACATGTAACGTAGATTGTTAAACCTATCACGGTGAGTCTACATGTCACGTAGATTGTTAAACCTATCACGGTGAGTCTACATGTCACGTAGATTGTTAAATCTATCACGGTGAGTCTACATGTAACGTAGATTGTTAAACCTATCACGGTGAGTGTACATGTCACATGTATTGTTAAACCTATCACGGTGAGTGTACATGTCACGTAGATTGTTAAACATATCACGGTGAGTCTACATGTAACGTAGATTGTTAAACCTATCACGGTGAGTCTACATGTCACGTATATTGTTAAACCTATCACGGTGAGTCTACATGTAAAGTAGATTGCTAAACCTATCACGATGAGTCTACATGTAACGTAGATTGTTAAACATATCACGGTGAGTCGACATGTAACGTAGATTGTTAAACCTATTACGGTGAGTCTACATGGCACGTAGATGGCAAATGTCCGTGAAAAGTAAATGTCCTTATTGCTGCAGTTGGTTTTGAGCATTTAGGGCAGTTAAGATAGATTATGGATAACCAATAGCACAAAAAGGTGCAAACAATGAATCAGTGTAATTTCCAGCAGTTCCATGACAAAAAACAAAATATGTATTTTTCAGGTAACATGATTGGCGAGGGGAGGGGCTAGTTTAAGAAACTAAAACATTGTTATTCAGACCAATTTTATTCATTTTTGCATTATATCTTAGGTCTTAGGAGCTTCGGCGCGTAAGGATGGGATATTTAAGTGCATTCGAGTGGGAAAAAAATGTTAGAGTCGGAGGAACAAACTAGGGTTGGTTTGAGTACCTGAATTACACATATTTATTTGGCCCAATGAATAGTTTCCTTCACGTACGTTAAACTATTATTTATTAGTTTTCCCCTGTTTCTTGACGTTTTCGATTGATATTCGATTTACCTAAGTTTTCTGTGTATAGTATTTGTAACTGCCACAATAACTGCCACAATCACAGTGTCCCCGTGTTTGTTGAGAGATGTTATAATTGTCAGTCTTAGTACTCTTGTTATCTATTTCTGTCGGAGGTAAGGTAAGGTCATTTCAGCTGTGTTTTTCGAACGTGTCTATCATATATTCACTTGACAATTGTACAGGTGACCATCCCATGTCCTCCGAATCCTGCGAAAGCCAGAAAGCTGGCACAAATTCGGAAGATGAAGGAGGAGAAAATGAAACACCCCGTCAGGGCTCCGGTCATTGATTTTGAGAAGGAGGCAAGGAAAGAGGAGGAGAAGAAAAAGGCGCGTCAGCAGAAAGAGACGCAGATGGCAGAGGTGGAGAAAGTGACAACGAAATGGTACATGGGGGAGTACGGCCATAATGACGGTAACTACATTTATCTACAAACGTGACATACTTCGTTCACTGGCTTAAGTTAAGGGTACCATCACGATATCATAACCAGTGTTACTACTGTGTAATATGTGTTCCACTCCTTTTCAAGACATATAGTCCATTAAAAGCTGTGATGCATTGAACATGTTTCAAAACATGCAACTTAACAAAGGAATCAGAAAAAACACTGCAGTGCTGGAACTCAGCACGTTTACATTGTGATGCCTACATTTTACCAATGTTTTCACCGTTGAATTGTAGATGTAAAGCATCGAATTGAGCGTCTAACATATGGAACGCAATGGAGATTACTCCACGTAGAATATCAATGATAAGGTGGTTATAAATGATGCTGTTGTACCTTATCAGCATGACACGTGTCTATCGTATTCAGAACACCTAGCTATAACATACCGAAAATAGCGAACACACACAACAAAGAATGCAGAAGTAAAAGCGTTTTATTAATCAACTGTTGTTGCAATCTGATAATAATGTATACTTACATTGATGAGTAAAACGATCCAATGGAAAAGAATCTCTGACATTTTGCAGACGACGAGAATGATCTGCTGCATTTCCTGTCCATGTCTCATACCGGGAAGTGGACCTACCATCCAGAAATCAAGGTTCAACAAGCCAAACTAGACCTCCTCCAGTTTACCTTAACACAGCCGTTTGAAAGGTCAGTGGGAACGTATTTACGTTGGGATCTTTAATAGCCAAGCTTATCGAGCTTCCTGCTCTAGTAACGATATGAAGATAAAATATAGTTTACAAAATTTCGATATTTGATTTAGACCTAAACATCAGTTACCCTGACTGAAACAGATCAAAAGAATATCCTGATAGCCCTTTTTTATTCATTTGCAAACAGGTTTGACGTATTGCATAAGTAAGATTAAAGAAGCTGGTCAAATTAGGTAGATTTTGTTATGATAGAAAGGAAGAATCGAGATTGTAGTGCCCTCATGAGGTAGAAATTGAGATCACGTTTGCTGTACTTTTGTCCGATACTCACTGCACAGGCAAAGAGCAATCGTTAGAAAAATAATGTCTATTTGAGGAAAGTGAACCACGGTGACATACTTTTAACAACGGTTGGGTCTAGTTTTGACCTAACATAGAAGACACCTAAAATCCATACATAACATCTTGTTTCTATCATTGTGAAACCTCTAACAGTTCGACTCGTTCGTTAAACTCATACTCAGATTGCATTTTTATTTGTCAGCATAATTTAACATGTCTATGGAGTCATTCAACACGTTAACTATATGGTGTCGTATGTCTGTAAAATTTAACATGTTAACTATATGGTGTCGTATGTCTGTATAATTCAACACGTTCACTCTATGGTGTCGTATGTCTGTATAATTCAACACGTTACTTGGTATTATATGTCTAAATCAATCTACGACTATTTTGCAGATTTATGGTACTACGCACGCGCACAAACATTGCAGAGGAAAACACTCCTGCGATGGCATCCGCAATTTTCACATTCTTGTCCAAACGTTTTGCACAGATCATTGTAAAACAAAGGTATGTTTACCTGTATCTAGATTGTAAAACAAAGGTATGTTTACCTGTATCTAGATTGTAAAACAAAGGTATGTTTACCTGTATCTAGACTGTAAAACAAAGGTGTTTACCTGTACCTAGATTGTAAAACAAAGCTATGTTTACCTGTATCTAGATTGTAAAACCAAGGTATGTTTACCTGTATCTAGATTGTAAAATAAAGGTATGTTTACCTGTATCTAGATTGGAAAACAAATGTATGTTTACCTGTATCTAGATTGGAAAACAAAGGTATGTTTACCTGTATCTAGAATGTAAAACAAAGGTATGTTTACCTGTATCTAGATCGTAAAACAAAGGTATTTTTACCTGTATCTAGATTGTAAAACAAAGGTTTTTTTACCTGTATCTAGATTGTAAAACAAATGTATGTTTACATGTATCTAGATTGTAAAACAAAGGTTTGTTTTCCTGTATCTAGATTGTTAAACAAAGGTATGTTTACCTGTATCTAGATCGTAAAACAAAGGAATGTTTACCTGTATCTAGATTGTAAAATAAAGGTATGTTTACCTGTATCTAGATTGGAAAACAAAGGTATGTTTACCTGTATCTAGATCGTAAAACAAAGGTATTTTTACCTGTATCTAGATTTTAAAACAAAGGTTTGTTTACCTGTATCTAGATTGTAAAACAAAAGTTTGTTTACCTGTATCTAGATTGTAAAACAAAGGTGTGTTTACCTGTATCTAGATCATAAAACAGAGGTATGTTTACATGTATCTAGATTGTTAAACAAATGTATGTTTACCTGTATCTGGATTGTTAAACAAATGTATGTTTACCTGTATCTGGATTGTTAAACAAATGTATGTTTACCTGTATCTAGATTGTCAAACAAAGGTTTGTTTACCTGTATCTAGATTGTTAAACAAAGGTATGTTTACCTGTATCTAGAATGTAAAACAAAGGTATGTTTACCTGTATCTAGACTGTAAAACAAAGGTGTTTACCTGTACCTAGATTGTAAAACAAAGGTTTGTTTACCTGTATCTAGATTGTAAAACAAATGTATGTTTACATGTATCTAGATTGTAAAACAAAGGTTTGTTTACCTGTATCTAGATTGTAACACAAAGGTATATTTACCTGTATCTAGATTGTAAAACAAAGGTATGTTTACCTGTATCTAGACTTTATGTACAACAACCATCGTACCAGAAACATGTACTGATTTTGATCAATCATAACTAATTATAACAATGTACGTCATTTTAATGTGTAAATTTCGTTAATAGATATCGCTGAATTTGTACGTTATTACATATATATATATATATATAAGTGTACGTTATTACATATATGTTTATGTGTAATTTCATTAGTAGATATCGGTGAAAAGACACCTGAAAATAATGTAATATAATAACATATGTTATGCATTTGACAACTGCTGAGAGCTATTGACTCCTTTCATAAAACTCCTGGTTCTAGGTCGTTTTAGATATGTCTATGAATTGATGAATTGCGTTAGCGTGATTGTTGACAACAACTAATGTGTATTTATAGAAGAGAAACACCAGCATTTAGCTGTGTGCCGGTGTCCGTCGAGAACAATACATTATGTGAACATCGTATTAGATCTTACAAGATATTCAATTACATCTGTCCAATTACATCTGTTCAATTACATCTGTCCAATTACATCTGTTTAATTACATCTATTCAATTACATCTGTCCAATTACATCTGTTCAATTACATCTGTTCAATTACAACTGTCCAATTACATCTGTTCAATTACATCTGTCCAATTACATCTGTTTAATTCCATCTGTCCAATTACACGTTATGTGTATGATTGGGTGATCATTATATAAGAGGGTAATTACATAGATGTATCGTTTGTTGTTGATATTCTTTCATGTACACCACGAACAACATACGTGAAACTCCATCAGTTATTTTATTTATCCTTTACATCATGCTCTATCTTACTTTCTAAACAGTTTCTTATGTACATTTGCAGGCTATCACTGCAATGTATTATCATCAAAGCGTATTATGTTATGAACGATGAGAAGGACTGTGCATAAGTACGGAAGTACTTATCGCACAATCATCAGAATGAAATGTCTTTTGTTATTTTATATGTTCTACTTTCTATACAAACAATGTAGGTATTAAACGTGTCTTAACGTTTCAAAACTGACTGGTACTTTGTCAAGCTATGATTGAGTGAGCGATTTGTATTTTTACCTGTTCACCTATGTGACAAATTGTATGTCTATTATGTCGCTCGAGTCGGGACGTTTCGCCTATCGATAGGGAGCGTATACACACTGTATTGAATAGGTTATTCGAACAAAACAAGTAATTACAAAAAACTAACAACCTACATTGTCACAACACAGCCAATCTGTAGATAGGTAAACGTTTACTTACAACGCACGAATATATATTATTTGTTCTTTTTAGGAGTGACGATCCGTTTGACTGTCTGATCAACGTTGTGCCTGTCTCAAAAACACAGAAAGTTCTCAAGCGTCTCAATGATACCGGATATGACGAAGGACCGGAACCCAGCAGTATCGTGAATATCAATGAGGGTGACGTCATCGAAGTATCCTTCCGCGGGAATGTCAAAAACTCAAAGGACAAAACACTCCGAGTGAGATATAACACAAACCTGAAGTCCGAAATAGGATGTTATGTGGCAGAGGTGGACCAGTATTTACAGAAAAATTTCAGCGTTTATCGAGGTGTGATTCAGCTTGAACGCTGTTATATCGTCAAACCGTGCCGGAAGTTAAAACGGTCACCGTCCGTGGTCGATGAGAATGCCGTTGCGAGTGCTTTGGAAACCAAGAAGGAGCATCTCTGTGAGATATCGATCAACATTCCAAAGGTAAATACAAAAAAGCAAAACTTCAGTTACCATTCATACAGGTCATTTGGCCGTGACTGAACCATGCATACAGGTCATGTGACCGTGACTGTACCAATCATACAGGTCATGTGACCGTTACTGAACCATTCATACAGGTCATGGGATCATGACTGAACCATTCATACAGGTCATGTGGACGTGACTGAGTCATTCATATAGGTCTTGTGGACGTGACTAAACCTTTCATACAGGTCATGTGGACGTGACTGAACCATTCATACAGGTCATGTGACCTTGGCTGCACCATTCATACATGTCATGTGGACGTGACTGAACCATTCATACAGGTCATGTGACCGTGACTGGTCCAATCATACAGTTCATGTGACCGTGACTGAACCATTCATACAGGTCATGTGCACGTGACTGAACCATTTATACAGGTCATGTGGACGTGACTGAGCCATTCATACAAGTCCTGTCGACGTGACTGAACATTAATACAGGTCATGTGGATGTAACTGAACCATTCATACAGGTCATGTGACCGTGACTGAACCATTCATACAGGTCATGTGGACGTAACTGAACCATTCATACAGGTCATGTGGCCGTAACTGAACCATTCATACAGGTCATGTGATCGTGACTGAACCATTCATACAGGTCATGTTGATGTGACTGAACCATTCATACAGGTCATGTCGACGTGACTGAACCATTCATACAGGTCATGTGGATGTAACTGAACCATTCATACATGTCATGTGGACGTAACTGAACCATTCATACAGGCCATGTGGACGTGACTGAACCATTCATACATGTCATGTGGACGTAACTGAACCATTCATACAGGTCATGTTACCGTGACTGAACCATTCATACAGGTCATGTGAACGTGACTGAACCATTCATACAGGTCATGTTGATGTGACTGAACCATTCATACAGGTCATGTGAACGTGACTGAACCATTCATACAGGTCATGTGAACGTGACTGAACCATTCATACAGGTCACGTGGACGTGACTGAACCATTCATACAGGCCATGTGGACGTGACTGAACCATTCATACAGGTCATGTCGACGTGACTGAATCATTCATACAGATCATGTGGACGTGACTGAACCATTCATACAGGTCATGTGGACGTAACTGAACCATTCATACAGGTCATGTCGACGTGACTGAATCATTCATACAGATCATGTGGACGTGACTGTATAATTCAGACAGGTCATGTGGACGTGACTGAACCATTCATACAGGTCATGTGGATGTAACTGAACCATTCATACATGTCATGTGGTGTGTCTGAACCATTCATACCGGTCATGTGACCGTGACTGAACCATTCATACAGGTCATGTGGACGTGACTGAACCATTCATACAGGGCAGGTGACCGTGACTGAACCATTCATACAGGTCATGTGGACGTGACTGAACCATTCATACTGGTCATGTGGCCGTGACTGAACCATTTATACAGATCATGTCGACGTGACTAAACCATTCATACAGGTCATGTGGACGTGACTGAACCATTTATACAGATCATGTGGACGTGACTGTATAATTCAGACAGGTCATGTGGACGTGACTAAACCATTCATACTGGTCATGTGGACCTGACTGAACCATTCATACTGGTCATGTGGACGTAACTGAACCATTCATACAGGTCATGTCGACGTGACTGAACCATTCATACAGGTCATGTCGACGTGACTGAACCATTCAAACAGGTCATGTGACAGTGACTGAACCATTCATACAGGTCATGTGGACGGGACTGAACCATTCATACAAGTCATGTGGACGTGACTGAACCATTTATACAGATCATGTGGACGTGACTGGACCATTTATACAGGTCATGTGACCTTGGCTGAACCATTCATACATGTTCTGTTGACCTGACTGAACCATTCAAACAGGTCATGTGACCATGACTGAACCATTCATACAGGACATGTGGACGTGACTGAACCATTCATACAAGTCATGTGACCGTGACTGAACCATTCATACAGGTCATGTGGATGTGGACAAAAAAGAACAATGAATGAATGAACCATGTTTACTAATCTAACCCTATAGACAACTGGTGAAACTTATGATTCCTAATCATACGTTCGAAGTTATTTCAAGATAAAAAAAAACCCAAAAACATCATTACATCAAAAGTAAGGTATGAAGAAGAAGAATTCGGCAAAAGGAACGTAGAGGCTATAATAAGGAAATGTCTTTGTGTATTTAGTTTGATTTATTTGTATTTATTTAGATTGTTTAATCTGAAAAGTGGTTATTATTAAAGATCAGTATATTCATACTTACAATTTTGATTGATTGCGAAACAGTGTTCGAAGTTTTTAAATATGTTTTTAAACCGTTATAGTAAAATAAATAAATAGCAAACACTACGTTTGACGATAGATAAAATGTATGTATTTTGGAATGCTTTTATGAATGCCCATCCGTTATTTTTATGTATCCGAAAGTTTACAAAGTCTGGCGATATCATCAAACATGCCTGAGTTTAGAACTGAATTACATAATGACATTTCCTTTTCCGTATCTCCTATTTCATTAGAATTGTATCGATATACATTTCTATCCATATCTGCTGTCGATAGTTTTATTCGTGGTCAAGTAATTGTCAGCGTTTATCATATCATAGCAATTTGTGATAATACTAAGATTGCATGTTGTTCATATTAATTGATGACGTGATACCTTGTAGTACCACATCGAGCCTGCGTACATCCCAGTTACCGCCCCTGTAACCATCATAAAAACCACAGATCCCGTGGATGACGACCTCATACGAGATCTTGCACGAGACATGGGAGATGAATGGAAAAGGGTAGCTCAGTTGTTGAACGTCAGCCGCGCACGAATACAAGCAATCTTGAGGAATGTCCAAATCAGTGACAAGTCGGAAGAGGATGCGCGTTACGAAATGTTGCTTAACTGGCTCAAGAAAATGCCAAAATCTACCGACAAGGTAAGTTGATAAAGAAATAGGTAGTTATGACAACCAGGTACCCAGATAACAGAGAACATGTATGTGAACCGTTATGATTCCATGCAATAAACTGTTGATAAACACAGTCAAAATAGGAATGTTGTGGGAGCGGTAATGTCAAAGCTAGTTACAAGTTCTTAATATACAGTATGTGTTGCGTATGAGAAGAGAAAATAAGCACGTCCAGACTGGGTTTTGAACCCGGGACCCTCAGAACTCCAGACGGATGCTCTAACATTGAGCTACCTGGTCACCGACGATCGACCCACTCAAGTTCAGCTACAGTTGTCAAATAGACAGAAGTTATTTAGGCTAAATTTTGTCGACCTATATAAAGATATAAGCCTACAGAATAAGACAAAATACGAAGAATATCATGATTGAAGTCACCAACATATTTAACGTATTATGTCGTGTAAACTAGTAAGATGATTCAGATATACTGTGAACGAACATATTTTAGTGGTGGTCTTATTTTAGCGCTTTTCGCTCATTTTATATTGCTCTAAATTATGAAGACACTAATTGATGTTATTTTATATTGCATATATGTGGGGTACGCAAATTAATCTGACATCAATGTACTAATCAATTCAAACTTGATAATGCGCTAAAATGTGAGTGTGCGAAAAATAAATACGTTTACATTATTTAGGGGTGAGTCACATCCATTGAAATCACAATACAGTAAGGTAACCTATACCAGTTTACAGTTTATCTGCCCAATCTTTTTTCCCAATTTGATATGCTACTCGATAGAAGGTTCCTGTGTGAATACAATATATCATGCACAATGTTTTGGTTCTCCTGTGTCTCGCCAACTCCTTACATGATTAAGTGGGTATAGGGTATTCGTTATTACTTTTGCTTACCATGTCTAAAAACTGAAAAGAAAGTAAAACATTTAAATGTATATCTACAAACGTATTTTATAACTATGCGGATAGGTGGTCATGGCTACATAACTATCCGGATAGGTGTTCAATGCTAAATCAAATGCCACTTTTCAGCAGGCTTCTGTGTTTTATGATTTCCATATATGATCCACACTATTGTATTGTCTTCTTTTGTCGTATCACAGGTGGCAGTGCTCAGTAGTGCCCTGGTAAAAGGGGGACGTGCAGACCTTGCGGAAGATGTCAGATCAAAATGGCGGACTTTCCAGAGCAGCCAGCATGTGGCGGCCTACTGAGCAGAAGTCATCTCCATGGAAACGCTTTAGTTTTTAAAAACTGTCATAGGATATCGGTAGGGCATATATCATTACACTTAAGATATGAGGAAGTGTCAGAAAATTCTTGACATTCGCCTAAAAGTGACCTTGCCTCAACAAGAGTGATCTTGACGTCATAAGTGCTCTCTAGTTGTCTCTACGCTGAACAGAAGCATCGCTCCTATTAGAGATTACCAATACGTTATTGGGTACACAGTCGACCCACCGATAGACAAACTATACAATTCTTACTACCTTCCAATAGCGCAATACTATAAGCAAAAAGCCCGATAGAGATTTACCGCAATAAAAATATTCATTTCATGTTTCTTTTAAATATCGGTTGTAGAATAATGGAACTCATTCTTAAAGACCTAAACCTGCGTTAAAAGTTTTATATTGTGTCCATTTAATAAAACACATTTCGATGGTGTTTATATGGTGTTACAAAACACAGGATGAAGTGTAACATCCTGTTTATCCGTTTACGTTAAGTTTTCCATAAGACGCAAAGAGTGAACAATGCAGGCCACCCTATACGCTTGATTTATAATAGAGTTACCTCCCTTTTAAATACCAACAGAGGTTCCGATTAATTAGCTAAATAACCATTAGTAAAAGGCGGGGTTTTTTTTTAACGTAAAACCCTTTCGGAAAGAAGGTTAATACCAAAGGAAGGTAGTATGTTTCCCAAAACAAAGTATTACCGGTCCAGTATTTGGACATCTGTTGATAAACATAATTCAATTTCTCCTGAGGTATACTTTTCTTAACCCTTTCACCTCTGTAGACCATAATGGACTCATTCAGATCAATGGATGATAGAGTCTACCGAAGTTACATAGGGGTGAAAGGGTTAATTTGCAATTAATCATTTAAACTATCCTTTTTAATACAAAATGTTTATCTTTATAATAAAAGGCAAAACAGACTTGTGTATTTAAAGACATAACAAAAGATGACGACTTGTTCCTTTGGTAGGGGTCTGTTTAACACACTGCTATTTACAATGTATTTATATTATTTCTGTTGGCAGATAGTGTGATATGTTTAAGGTACAGTAATGTTGTAAATCAAATATCGTGATCATATTATGGGTAATAAGTTCTCATTAATTAAATATGAAAAATATTTTTCTGAGACAAACTGCAAATGAGAAGATAATGTGATCGTTGTTATACATTTTGTATGGAGTTAAATGCCATATAAGGAGTAAGTTCGTCCATCTCCTATTCTGAAGCCTTATTATTATACATTAATATACATATCATGTATTAGCGATTCTGTGATTTCAAGTTAGTTTTACATTTGTTCCGTACTATTGTTACAAGTATTATATACATGTACCCTATATTTGTTTTGTTTCCGTCCGTTATATGATGTTTAATTGAAAGAAATTCAAATGAAACATCAAAATTTCGCTAATTGCAACTGAATGTAAAATATTATTTTTGCTATAAGCTCGTTGATGACTGTTTGCATTTCATCGAGTCAAAATATTATTTGTTATTTTCACCAGTAAACAGTGTACAAGAATACAGTTTTATATATAAAAGAAAACAAAATATGTATATCGAGTTGCATGCCACTCCAAAGTAAATGCCTTCATAAAAATCGGATGCTTGAGAGAATTATATTTTGATAGAGAAAACTGTTGAAACGCTACATATTATTTCGTGACCAATTATGTATATTGCACATTGTAGATATAATGCTATAATTTATATTATTTATGTATTATCATTACATTGTAGTTATAATTTATATTATTTATGTGTTATCATTACGTTTCCATTGCCTGTTAGCTCTATGTATATCACCCTGCAATGAATCATTGTTATTAGAAGAAATGCAAAAAATAAAAATATTTTATAACTTTTGTTTTCAAATAAAAAAGTATATAAACTGATTTTCAAAATAAATATCAGGATGCAATCATTAAGAGCCAATAAGATGTGAAAGCCCTTCATTATTCAATGGATATTAGCACTACTTTGAATATATCACAAATCGCGAGATACTCATTATCATGGAAATTCGCAAAATGAATTTAAATATCTTTCACAGAAACAGAACTTAACAAGGAACTTATAACGGTCGTTATTCCATTTGCTAATTTCGTGTCGTTGGAGGCAGAAACGCTTATATATGATGCCGAAATTTAAATAATCAATAGTTGTCAAGTTTTAAGGAGATTCTAATCAAAGTGTCGCAATATTCTGTCCGTGTTTTATGTGACTTTTTGTTTGTTTGTTTTTTTATTCAGACGTTTGTCCACAAACCATAAACTTAGAACCAATGTGGATAGAATAGACTGCACTACATATTGAAATATATTAAAGTTATTTTGACATGAAATTATTATCTAATTTTACAAGTAAAGGGAAATTGTGTAACGTTTATCCACACAATATATGAACTGTTTTTGAACCATTGTACATTCCATGCAATTATGACGTAATATTAAATGAGTTTCCGCTCTACAATGTGAAGCTGGGATCTTGTTAAATCAACATTATAATAAAAAAATCAACACAATACCAGATATACACTGTAAACGTGGAAGTTTTCACAGTGTGGAAAAGTTCGCAAGTTTGTTTACGTGAGGTCAAATCGCTAAAATATCACACTCGAATATTTATTTTTATATATTACGTAGAATATAGATAAATAGAATATATTGAATTCTGGACCATCGCAAACAGGTAAACTTCCACACAGGATCGGTTTGAAGGGTCACAACGCGAACATTTCCACTCACGAAAATGTCCAGTTACAGCATGTCATTACCGACGAGAAAATTAAAGCATATTTCCTGTCGCCATCCTCAAGTCTTTGACATAAAGATATTGACGCAATGTTTATTTTCATAACTGCGACGTTAAAATGCCAAACGTCACATCTTTTGTTTTATTTGACTTTACAGTGGATGTTTTTTCATGAAATATTACGCAAGAATGTTGTGGTATTCACTATAACGTAACACGTAGTCATGTGATGTACCTCATTTAAAACTATTCCAATACATATTTCAGTTCGAGTAAATGTGAAACTGTGTAATGTTATTTTAATGGATTAAATAATTTTAAAATAGTGTTTCTGTCGACTTACCTAAAACCAAATGAACTTGTTAGCTTAGGAGTGATAATGTGTGGGTCTTTTTACCGTAAACTTCAAAAACAAATAACAACAAAGCAAAGATGTCAAAACGTTGACCCAATAAGGTACGATTCGTGAACTGTTGTATAAAAATAGTGTGCATTTCTTGTTCCCAATCTGTTAAAATACCTGTAAAATAGCAGATATTCTATTTTGTTACTAATTTAAGACATGCATTTTAGCTGATAAATTCACGTCGATTCAATATGATGTGTATTACCGAATCCGTCCCTATATATTTGATACATTTGTAAATAAAATAAAGCTAATTATACACAAAATCCATGTGTTTCATGTCTTGTATGTATGGTACTGTTGACGTATTCAATTACACAATACGTCTCTGGGTTAATTCAAAACACACAAGGATAATAAGACCGAATGTTCCGGAAGTGTATGCGACTTCTAGACAGGAGTCCAAACTCGATTTGAGCTGTAGATTTTAGTGCATAACGTCATGAACATGACACACAGTACCTCACCTCCGTCACAAAACAATACAACAACTTAATATATTTGTCATCATAATTTAATATGAATACATGATCTGTAATCAGCCATTTTTATTCACGATTTCATTTGTTAACTATATTCACGTTAAGTACACACAAAGTAGATCATACACTCTCTCAGCTCCTTATATGGTTCTGGTCTGATTAACATTTCGCCTCTAAACTAACCTTATTCTTCAGGCACCCAATTGTCATGACAAAAAGGAAATTCACCGTGATTTTACTTTTCTTAGATGACCCCCACATACACGTGATTGCATGTTTAACCTTTGGTAGTAGATACCGTATGCCAGAGAATCAGTTACACAACATACACGTGATTGCATGTTTAACCTTTGGTAGTAGATCCCATATGCCAGAGAGTAAGTTACACAACATATACGTGATTGCATGTTTAACCTTTGGTAGTAGAGACCATATGCCAGAGAGTAAGTTACACAACATATACGTGATTGCATGTTTAACCTTTGGTAGTAGATCCCATATGCCAGAGAGTAAGTTACACAACATATACGTGATTGCATGTTTAACCTTTGGTAGTAGATACCGTATGCCAGAGAACGAGTTAGACAGCATTCCCGTGATTGCATGTTTAACCTTTGTTAGTAGATACCGTATGCCAGAGAATGAGTTACACATCATACATGTGATTGCATGTTTAACCTTTGGTAGTAGATACCGTATGCCAGAGAATGAGTTGCACAACATACACGTGATTGCATGTTTAACCTTTGGTAGTAGATACCATATGCCAGAGAATGAGTTACACCGTATCATACAGCCGTGTGGTCGTTCTAGGACTCATCAGTGATACTTGGTACTAAAACGTTGCACATACAAAGGGTCACGTGCGTGTAACCCATTTAATTTATCAATTCCAAAGTTCAGAGATGTCACGAATGACTTTTAAATCAAATCATTAGGAATGTGTCTTTTCCCCCGTAAGAGCAATATAGATAATAGGCGAATGCTATTCAGACGGCAAAACCATTTACAAACATTCAGACACATCTTTCCTACGTTCAAATCAAGCTGTTTGCCTAAAATTTCACTAACATGCATATTTCATTAAACCAGTCCCAAAATTGTAAAATATCATGTATCTCTACTATAGCGCTTCAATAGCGACACAAATAGAACTAGGGTCATTCATCCCTGAAATTTCATAATGAACTATTCCAACCTTTGAATTGGAAGAGTTCAAATGTGTTTTCAGGGGTGATTGAGTTAAGATTTTTTTGATCACATATGAAAAATAACTTTAAAATTCAATATTTGATAAATATGTTTCAATGTCGTCTATTCCGTCTTTGCGTATTGCAGAGTTATCTTCTCTTGTGATTGTTACGTCATTGGTTTGTGAGAGTAACGTCATCAATTTTTGAGAAAACGACGTAATTCAATCAATACCTGCTCACAAGAGAAGATAACTATGCAATACGCAAAGACGGAATTATGATGTGTAAACAACAAGTGCTGCACTATATCTTGGTTCAGTGATAATAGCTTTGTTCTCGTAGATACGTACAGCTAGGGCTAGATCCATGTCATGGGATTCACATCGACCAGTTTCACAAACACTCGTTAAACTAACACCAACCTGACATCTCATCATAACCATGCCTAGTAAACCTTCATATCTTCGTATCACGGAGAATGAAATGGCATGCGGAAATATTTCTATTGTATAAATCAAATTCGAATCACAACTATTATTTTGCTCAAATAATAGATACAACCAATCCGCCCACTAGCAAGGCTAACAAGAACATGGTATAACTACGGTACAAGTTATATTTTGGTTGGCTTTGACTTCTCCATCATGTTTGGAATTAATTGATTTTTTTTAAGGATCCTCGTACCACTGCCGAAAACAATAACTAACGCTTTCACCACTGTAGAACATAATGGACTCATCCAGATCAATGCATGGTAGAGTCTACTAAAGTTACATAGGGTGAAAGGGCTCACTGAAAAAACGACTATAACTTTCTAAAAAGAAAACCATATCTTGCGGAACTTTCATGAAAAAGGACAGATGATTTAAACCAAACAATATTCAAAACACAGTTCTGATTGAAAAATAAAACAGGACTAGACTGGGTTTCAAACCCCGGACTACAAGTTGATATACTATCACTCTAATTGACTGAGTTACGTCGTTATGAAAAGTGTCCTGTTTGTGTGTTTGTTTGAGTACGTGGTTTAACCGAGTAGGTCCGATTATATCCGAAACGAAATTTAGGTTATTGTACGAAAAACTATAGTGCAGTGGACCAGGGATCCATAACTACTTTTATCAACGTATCACTTTGTATTTGTACTAGTTAATTACAATTATTCAATTTTAATCAATTAAACGTAAAACCTTAGTATCCATTCCAATTAGTTACCCGTATGTTCAGTTGTAATGATGTAATCAACACGTGACCTTGGTATCCGTTCTAGATCAGTATCAGTATGTTCTGACGCACTCAAACACTATGCACAAATTCGTACATTAACCTCACAATTTTGGAAACTATTTTCATTCAAGCTAGCAACATCCTTGCTTGGAATGAATCTATGTTTCCATTCTAAGTAATGAAGGAAGTGGTCAGGCCGACCAAGCCTCCCAGATATATGGCATATTGATGTCATACAGACCTCAAAGATAACCTCTTTATTGATGTTATATCGATGCCATACAGAGCTCAAAGATTAACTGTTCACAGATGTCATATCGATGCCATATAGAGCTCAAAGATAACCTGTTTACTGATGTCATATCGATGCCATATAGAGCTCAAAGATGAACTGTTTACCGATGTTATATCGATGCCATATAGACCTCAAAGATAACCTGTTTATTGATGTTATATCGATGCCATACAGAGCCCAAAGATGAACTGTTTACTGATGTCATATCGATGTCATACATAGCTCTAAGATAAACTGTTTATTGATGTCATATCGATGCCATACAGAGCTCAAAGATGAACTGTTTACAGATGTCATATCGATGCCATACAGAGCTCAAAGAAGAATTGTTTACTGATGTCATATCGATGCCATACAGAGCTCAAGGATGAACTGTTTACTGATGTCATATCGATGCCATATAGAGCTCAAAGATGAACTGTTTATTGAAGTTATATCGATGCCATACAGAGCTCAAAGACCAACTGTTAACTGATGTCATATCGATGCCATATAGAGCTCAAAGATGAACTGTTTACTGATGTCATATCGATGCCATACAGAGCTCAAAGATGAATTGTTTTTTGATGTCATAGAGATCTCACAGATGAACTGTTTACTGATGTCATATCGATGCCATATAGAGCTCACATATGAACTGTTTACTGATGTTATATCGATGCCATACAGAGCTCAAAGATTAACTGTTTACTGGTGTCATATCGATGCCATACAGAGCTCTAAGACCAACTGTTTACTGATGTTATATCGATGCCATAGAGAGCTCAATGATGAACTGTTTACTGATGTCATATCGATGCCATACAGAGCTCAAAGATAAACTGTTTACTGATGTCATATCGATGTCATACAGAGCTCAAAGAAGATTGGTTACTGATGTTATATCGATGCCATACAGAGCTCAAAGATGAACTGTTTACTGATGTTATATCGATGCCATACAGAGCTCAAAGAAGAATTGTTTTTTAATGTCATAGAGATCTCACAGATGAACTGTTTACTGATGTTATATCGATGCCATACAGAGCTTAAAGATGAACTGTTTACTGATGACATACAGAGCTCAAAGAAGAATTGTTTACTGATGTTATATCGATGCCATACAGAGCTCAAAGATGAACTGTTTACTGATGTTATATCGATGCCATACAGAGCCCA